GACATTATGCACTCATCAGTGTCAAATGGCTGTTCAACCCAGGCATCTGCAGAGTGTAAGTTCTATTTGCACCTTCATCTTCCTGATTTTATTAACCCAAACCTCACAATCTTTTCTGTCCAGGGATTAGCAACTAGCCTGTCTCAAACCAGGCATGACCTCTTAAGAGTGTTATGATTGCAATAGCTCTAACGCAATGAATGTACCTCAGTTTGTATTTTTGCAGTTAAAACTCATTCAACTCAGGGCTGTACCAGAGTCTTCAGGAGGTCAGAACAGAGTCTGTTGCCTGATCCAGACCTAAATTTCAATCCTCCTGAAGTTGAGTGGATTATCTGTATTTGGCGTGTTGACCCAGATGTTATTTATGTTTGAAAAGAAATTATTGATTTACAATGGCTTCTAATACTAACAAGTACCCTTTAATGTGCCCTTAGTTGCATATCGTAAGAGTACATTCACCTGTTAAATCTAAATTAAATGAATGGATGAGACAGGAATTTGAAAAATCCTCCATAAAGTTGGGCAGAGCTGCTGGGGTTGTTCATTCTTTTATCCTAAGTGAGACTGAGGAACTAGTTGAGAATGACCCCCAAAGTTTTAAAAATGCTCAGTTTTGAAAAAAAGAAAGGGAAACACTACCTTCTTATCCCCCATTTCTTCACTTAAGCTCTACTGTCCCACTGCAAACTGCATCTTTATTCTTTGTTTCCCCACTGAAACCAGATGCTCCCCAGCAGCAACCATGTTTAGAAACCTTCAAACAAATGATCGTGCCAAGGCATGCTGCAGCAAAGATTTGGTCTGCAGCAAGATGCTACTTGTTAGCAAAAGAGATGAAACAAATGGCATGGATGAGGTAAAGTGTGATATGTGATTTTAAATATTGTTGAACTACAAATATCCAGAATTATGAGAAAGAACGGACTGAAACAGATAGCTGAGACATGCTGCTAACTATGCCGAAATGATGCGTGGGGACAAAATGAAGACACACACACAGATATACACTGTTCCCAGGAAAGACCAACCAGAGATGAACAGAAGTGAATGAGAAGAGTAAACACAGCCACAATCTACAGGTGATTCCCAAACGTTCACTTAGAAGGAAAAAGCAAAACAGCTACTAACTTTTTTTCCTTCTAAGCAGCACAATGGATATTTAAAAGATTCACTTCTCACCGGATATCTGAAATTCAAATGCAACCTTTCATCTCTTTAAAAATCTTTATAACTACGAGCTGATTCCATCTATTGCAGCACTGAGTTTCAGCTAAATTGCCACTAAATGGTATTAGCTACAAAATATTAGATATCAATTCAATATAACAACTTAGGCTGAGAATTTATCATTAGAGTATTGTCTGTGAGTAAGAATACAGGAAGGATTTAGGAAAAAGGCAAGTGCTCAAGAAAACTGGGATTTGGTGAGCCCACACTGCCTTCCTGGATCTTTACAGTGTTTTTACATAAATAGAAACAGTCAGGGTATCAGTTTGCATCCCACCTGAACAAAAAAAGCATTTTCTTACAGCACTGAACATGAAAAAAAATGGGGTACGGGCTTAGTACAATACTGAAGGGAAAACAACACTCAACAGGTAACTTCCAAGACCTCCCGAGCACCCCTTCTTCTGCTTGCGTGACTTTCTCACGTGTACAAAGTTTGAAAAAGGAAAACACCAAACAATTTTGTTAAGCCATAATGAAACGGACTTTTAATTTTCAGGTGACAGCTTGTGTGCACATGCGTGCACACATATAGATACATATGCATATACATATGTATATAGATATACACATAGAGATATACCTCTGCAAGCACACCTACCCCTAGCAGTATTTTGGGATGTGAAAGCTTTGACAATCCAAACTTCATTGTCAAATACGTTTCAGAGGTGACTCTAGGCAAAACCAATATTCTTTCTTATTACTTTGAATTTTCAGGATTGAATAAAATGGACAGTTTCCCTGTACGGTCCATTTTCTTTCATTTACCTCGGGCACTGCCTGCATTATCACTGGTGTAAGCATGTACTTCCACAGTCTAAGAAAATATTGTTTCTAAAAGCAGAGCTTGCAGTTAAACCCGACTCTCCTCTCCCATTCCCTGTGCTTCAGTTTCATTTGAACTTGGTCATTATTTGTACTGCATTAGAGACCATTGCAATATTTTATGGTTCTATTAAAACGCTGTCCCCATCACTTCTGCAAATCAAAACCTCTAATTATAAATAATAATAAAAACGCAGGGCAGGAAGTTCTTTGCTTTCCATCTGCTTTTCATTAGATTACTCAACCCAGCCAAATCTATGGACAATTAAACAACACAAGAAGTTCTATGTTTGTAAATTCCTTCATGGCAAAGAGCTTTATGCTGCAGATACAAAATGTCCCAGATGCTCTACACATCATATTTTGATTTAAAAAAAATAAAGTTTGCATATTGATAAGTATGTCTTATCAAGCCCAAATCTAAGACTTCACATTAATTCTAGATGAAATACCTTGCTACTGTCAAGTAAGGACAAAAGCTCCAAGTAGTTCCTTTTAGAAAAGTCTCTATTCCTTGGGAAAAGCCAATCTGATGTTTCAAATATAGGTAAAGGGAGCAAATTAATTGATGTGGATATTTAAGCGTATGAGAAATACCCTGTATGTTTAAGCCATAGATGAGAACGCACTAAATGCACGGAATAGGGCTGAGGAAAATGCAAGCTCTTCTGCATTATCCCAGCAATGCAATTCCTAGCGAGGCTCTGGAGGAGCCCCCTGGAAAGATCCAATTTCACATTTCGCAGCAGTGCTACTTAAGCCACTCAGGGTGCTCCAGCAACTCATTTCTGCCCCTGGGTCACCTTCCTGGACCGTGCGGACAAGGCATTCAGCTTCTGCAGCTGCCTGGTAACCCAGCCCGGGAAACTGAAACTCCTTCCCTTCCCTTCATCTTCTCACCCCTTCTGTATTTTAGTTTTTCCTCCAGGCAGATAGGTTCCTCGAGTTCTCCAACATCTCATCCAACATGCCTTAACTATGGGAACCTCCTGCCTGACTCCTTCGAGCTCCCACCAAGGCACAACTTCTGTAGGAACCGAGAAAGAGTCTTCCAGACTTCTGCCTCCACCATACGAGTACTGGTCCTTCCCAAGGTGGAAAAAATAGCATAATGCTACAAAGAAATGCTATCGTAAATTCTGTGTGCAGAGGAAGGCCAGGGAAGGATTACAGAAACAGCTGCAACATTCGTTCTAGCAATCCGTACATCTGAAAGCTCATTAGTGTTCTTCTAGAGCAGTCTTTTGCCTTTAATTGCACGCATAGAACAACTATCAGGGAAGGTCAACAGGGACAGCCTCATGACTTGGCAATATCTTTCAACTTATTACTTTCAATAGGACTTGGGCTTTTGGTATCAACTTCATAAAAACATTTCCCAGGATTGAAAGAGGAAATCCACCCCCTGGTGTGTTGTTAAAGCCAAACAGAATCTATTAATCTATGCTGCTTCATTATCTCCCATTAAAGCATAGCAAGAAACTACTCACTAGCAGCTCACAACATTTAATATTAATATTAGCCATATTTAAGAATAAACACTTGCTTATGATTGTATCTACCAGCCTGGCCTGTATTTAGATTTAAAGTTGCCCCTGTCTACATGCTTTAGCTGATAGAGTACAGAGAAGTGCCTGATCACTGTATTTAGAGATCAACTTCGAACAACAAAAGGCAGATACTGGATTTATGGAATGACCACCTGCTGCAGCGCTTTGAATTGCTAGGGAGCTCTGCGACACTGATTCTAGCAAATACGGTTGCACGTTCCCAGGAGGAACAAAGGCTGGAGATACCAACGGCCGAGAAAACTATTTCCCTGAACTGTCAGCTCTTTGAAGCGTGCAGATTAATTAATGCAGCGCACGGATAGCTTAGGGTGTTCATGACTTTTTTACCACTGAACCAAAAGTTCCAAGCTGTAACGCAAGATCTGATAAAATGCATTTCCCTTAGTAAAAGTCGAACTTTTGAATCACATCTATTTGTTTTAAACTATCAAGTCAGCAATCTTAAAAGATAAGGAACACCATTAAAACAGAGAAAATAGATGAAAAGAACAGCAGTTAACCAGCTTTCCAACTCAACTTGCCAGCTGCATAATGTTTTAAGAAAGCAATTTCAAACCGCTTCTCTTGATACAAAAGATACACGGATATATCTTTATATATATATGAATACATAGATTTTTTTTAAAAAAAAATGGAAGAATAAAACAAAAGGTTCACCACCAGTAAACTCTGCAGAGATCTCAGTTCTGCCAGCACATCTAACTGCAATCACTTCAAGTGTATACTAGGATGACAGTAGTAGACCTCATTTTCTATTTATTTTTCCTTTCATCGGCAGAGCTTGGTATTAATTTGCCTGTATTTTCATACAACACAAAACTGTCCAGGAGCAGCAGGAAGTAGATGGGAGTCATATACCCAGAGCAGAAGCAATTAGGATTCCAAGTTCTGTTATATCTGACTTTCTCCATCGATCCCCAAACAGAAAGAAGCTTTCAGTACCGAATTAATCTGTTCCATCTAAGTCAGCATAAACATTTTTGGGTCGCCTATATGTTCTGTATGAAGAAAAAAAAAAAAAAATCTAACCTACAACACTCTCTGGGCACCAAGAACTGGGATGTTGCAGGGAATCACTAGTTACAGATTGCTAAAGGAATCTTAAATTCTTACAAGCTTAAAATCTTTCAAATCATGCAGGAGATGAACACTGATACGAGCTTACAAACACCGCAGACAAAAGACATTCAACAGTGGCAACTATTCACAGAGAGGTAATGTGTGGATGATCGACAGGTAGAAAGGATAACATGGTACATATAAATGATGATCAACACACAAAGTGTAACACGGTATGTATAAAGGAGGTATTAAAACATGGAACACCAAAAAGATAACTCCATTTTATTTCATCATAAAACTTAATGTACATACCTGGTTTTGGCACAGAATTGGTCACGGACTGAGGAACTTTGTCGTTAATTAGTTCGACACACTCACTAGGAAAAAATCCAACCTGTAGTAAAAACAGAAAGAGAGGCAGAACATTGAATGTAGTGTTTTTAAGATCTGAACTGTTAAACCAGCAACTGTTAAACATTTTCCTCAAACTCTGCTTGCCTGATGCTCCATAACATTATCCAACCTAAAATGACCAGCATAAGAGTAATAATTTTTCAAAATGATGCAGCCAAAAATTCTACAAACGCAATAAGTAGTTCTGTAAAATCCAGTTATAAGTCTGTTTTCTAAGCTTGGTCCACAGAACAGAGATACTCAGCTTACAACAGAGAGGGGAGAGGCCAAGTGTGCTACACACCCTTAAATCTCAAGTGCAACTCGAGAGAGAGACAGAAAGACGTTAGCTGGGTTTCCTGCCCCTGGCTGCATGTATGCAACATGGGATGTAACGAAGAGAGCAAGATGTTTCAGCTCTTAGCATCCTGATGGTACTCAAATCTCACCAACACTTGACGTTTTTTCACCGTCAAAATAATATATTCACAAGTACTTTAACGTTTTCTTCCTTTAGAAAACTAAATCAAATATGGGTCAATATATTTGCATGTCTGTGTAGCCCCATTACAGAAAAATGCGTATTCTCTTATGATAAATTAGAAGACACTTTGAATGCACAAAGCTCTCTACCGTGTCCTAGCCTTACTGCATGATCTGATGAGCGTGGGTAATAAGTGATACTCCTGAAGCATTCAAATTAAGCATGTTTAAAAATCTTGCTAAAAAAGTTCAACGTGGTTTTAGTTAAATTGAATTCAATCTTAGAACTGAGAACAGGTTTAATAAAATATACATAGAGCAAAATGAGTTCTACATTTGTAAGTAAGAACCCAGTAATTCGACTAGAAGTAAATGCAAGTATTTTTAGAAGAAACAGCATGAGGTAGCAAAAAAAATCTCTAACGAGCCAGAACTCCTGGTGTGTACTCTAGTATCTGCTCCTGAACACGGACAAGCCAGTGCAACCATCGTGCCTCAGTTTCCCTATCAGCAAAGGACAGGGAGAATAGTGCCACATATCCATTACTGAAAACTGACTTGAGCGAACAGCTGACAAACACACTGCCCAAGCTGTTTAACTGTTAGGATTTATCTGTGTATCCGCTAATCAAGCTGAAACAGAAAGAATATTCCAGAAACAAACCCCAGAGGCAAGGTTCTTCTTAGCAAATATTTGAAAATGCTTCAAAAGCAATGACCCACCCTGGGCTACCACACAGCAGTGCTATGCAAAAAATTTTGACAACCGCTGAATGCGGCTGCTTCTCCGCTGCCAGCATCACTGACAATGAAGACATCTCCAAGCGCCCAATTCCCAGCAAGGTCCTGAGACTGACTACTTTCAAACGCTAATTTGCAGCGTTCCTGCACTGACCTTTAACACGGCATTTTTCCCTGCATCCCCTCTAACTGAGAAATCCTGGAGAGACTGTCTAAAGCAGCATAAGGGTAAAAGACTAGAGTATGGGGAGGATCTTAGTGTTTTGTTGAAATAGGATGTGCCTGCAGAAATGCCCATGCCACTCAAAGGTCTCTGTACCTGGGGAGAAGTAAAATTATTTCCCTTTCACTGTTGAAGGATTCAGGCTAAGATGTGACCAGATAGGAGTTTTACACTTCCCAGCACCCCAACCTTCTTTCCACTTGACGGTGCCTTCCTTCTTACTCTCGTCCCAGATGAAAGTCAAGCCAGACCAGAGCAACTTTTATCCTTAGTCCATATTTCCAAACCTTTTTCTCTCTCCTATCCTGCCTCCTCACCCAACACAGCTTCTTGTGTTGTAACAGGTAATTCAAGCACCACCACCCCTCTGAGACACCCCGTCTACGCCAGAAGCAGGATTTCCTCTCCCGCGTCAGGCATGCGACTGGGACAGCTGAAAGCATCAAGTCACTTCACGCAGCCACAGTTTGGTCAAGGCGCTGCAACAATGCATGGCGAAGAGCCAGCGGACGGGCCCCAAGCTCATCTCAACGGAAGAAGTGGGGCAGGACCGCTGCCAGTCATGGCAGCACATCTATGACATTCACTGGAGCCACAAGGCAGTCAGCGCTGTGAGTCTGGCAAGCAGTCCCTTCTCTAGTTATTCATCTTACACAATTCCCTTTTGTCTCCAAGGAAAAAAAAGAAAATCTCCTTCCTACTCCAAGTGGATTTTCACCCATAAACCTCCAAGCAATTTAGCAGCAGTGTCATGCACAGTGTGTCCAGGTAAACACGCCAGACTTTGAAACTGTTCCAAATTCCCTAAGGGAAGCAACAGTTAATAATAATACCAGATAACTTCTCCTTCCCACACCCCCAAAATCCAGCAAGGCAACCTTCTGTCCAAGTAAGAGGACAAACTGTAATCCATCATACTTAAAGCTGAAGACTCGAAATATGCTTTTTGTTAAGACTATGACAGCACAGGAACAGGACTTGCAATAGCAGCACTATGGCTCGGTAGACCTTGCTTCTCTGATCTATGGTTCCCTGTAATCGAGACTGGCCTGTGCATTACGCTTCTGCTCAAGTGACTCTCAGAGCTGAAGAACCCATCCAAAAACCAAGATAATGTATGGCTTCACCCAACCACTCAGCTGTGTGTGCCAATTTTGCAAGGAGATGATATCCTGGAGTTATATAACGTCGTGGTGATTTTTGTGCAGTTTATAGGTAGAAAATATGCCGATTAGCACAAGCAAACCCTACTAGCATCGCATACAGGGGCCCTTCATCAGGCAGCTCATAGCTCAGTGATGCTCCTTTGCTAGGAGATGTTGAGAAACAGGCTGATCGTTACATACACAGAAAGTACTGGTATTTAAACAAAATACATTATATGTTTTTTAAATACTTTCCTTTACCTAAGAGTCTCTCTCGGACATTTCCTGTGCAAGGAGACAATTTTTAAGTTAGGAAAAATGTACACATCCAGTGAAAGTCTCAGCCCCATCACACAAATGATGCATTTGGGAGACTCAATAGCCGAAGTGATATAGTTTCTTTCATTCTCAATGCTTTGAGAACTTTTTTTAATTGCCCGCAACGTCTATGCCTGAGGTGTGCAAAGAAATCTGAAGTACTTGGACAGCAACCTTCCATTAATCATAATGAGAAATGGTGGATCTAAATCCAACCCAAAATCCCATACTGTAATCAAAAGCTCGTTTGCCTTTGATTGTTAACATAATGTTTCTCCTGCTTCTGGATGCAATATAGAATGCTAAACATGGATTTAGAAATGAAAGAAGCCCCAGGATGGTTATGTCACTGCTTCCAGATATCTCGGAACCTTTCCCAATAAAACACTGTACCTGTTCACAATATATCATTTTTGCCATGTTCATAACCAATAATTATAATGGATTTTTTTAAGGAAAGAGGATTTTTACTTGTGCTAGTGTTGACAAGCTCTCTGATGTTAACTTACTGGTAATGGTTCTGATGGCTTACATTTTCTGACTTAATTTATTCTGACTTTTCTTGCAAGATCCCCAAGAGATCATCTTCAGGGTCATAACCTATAACTTGTGCCTCATTCCCACCCACTCAAAAGATGCTGCTTTTCCTCCCATGGAAAGTTTTCCATGATTTTGTATAAATAAATTAGTTTAGTCCAAGACTTAATCTCAACAGATGTAGCAAGGCACTATTAGAGCTTGAGCCAGGATTAAAGGATTTGGCAACGTCTGAAAATTAATAGCCAGGGTAGTATATATTTAGATGAATACAAGGTCATTTAAAGGTTAAAAAAAATCACTACACACCTTAACCAAAGGAGGAAAGCACAGGCTACTGTTGTATGCAAACGTTTCTGCAACAGCTGCTCTATCTTTTTTTCGCTTTTATGACAGCGTCTGATAAAACTGGAAGATACATGAGGCTTTAAGGGGAAAAGTCAAAGTAACAGTAATAATTTTCAGTGTATGAGGAGGGAACACAAACAAATGAGAAAGCGGCAGCAACATAAATGGCAAAGGAAACATTGTTTGAGACATTTTGATTGTTTTTTTTGTTTTGACATAGGCTAAAGTATGGATTAAACTTCATTCAAAAATTTTTCTCTTTTAGTTTTAAGTCGTGATAGGGTAGCAAAACCTAACAGCGTAACATCAACTTTTTATTGCTTGTTTGGCTCTCATCGGCAGAATTTTCGCTATGCTGTTTGCCAAGTAATTACATAGTAGCGGCTAGGGCAGAGAGCAGGGCACCCTCCCCGAGTTTCCCAAAGTACAGCAGGCATACCAATACAGCTCCTGTTGAGAAGGTACTCACCCGTTTTAGACGGACACCAGTTACAGGAGGAACAGGATTGTTAGTCCTCTTATCCTGAACTCTTGTAAAAGAGAGCTGAACATCTTTGCCACAAAACTTCTGATTTCTTTTATTCACAAAAAGAATGTCTGCGTGGGATGGTAGCTGTTAATTATCCATTCCTGACTGGTATGCCAGCTGTACTCTGGGAAACTAGGTGAGGCTGGTCAAAGGCTCTTCCTTTAACATTCCCACCTGCCGGAGCGGCTGAGCAAGCAGGCAGCTGAATGCTGAACATTACTACCAAAGGTCACACACGCTCCTGCAGCGAGGTGCGAGAAATCTCCGCTGCTCGACTCGAGAAATGCATTCACTCCTACGGCGCTCGCTGGCTGGGGATGGCAAGGGAAATGCCAGCACACACGTGGACGAGTGCCTGTGCAAACTTTTGCTACGCGCCTACAGAAAATGGGCAGCGTGGATGCATGCAGAGTGGGAAACTCGCGGCAAATCAGTTCAGACATAATTTTGCCCAATCTGTTACTGCAGTTGGCACTGTTCTGCAAATGGAAGTGGCCATCTGGCTGAGAAATGACGTCACCGGTGACATGTCCACTGGGCTCTCGCACATCGCCTGTTTTGCAGGTGCTATCGTTCACCAGCCAGATGGCTGCCTCTCGCACCAAGTTCCCAAATCAGTGCACGTGAACCAGAAATCAGACTTTGGCTTCTCATTTGAGAACTGGTGTTTCCAAAGCGACACTAGCCACAAAAATGTGCTCTGCCTTCCCAGGCCATTTTTACTAATTGGTACCCTTTGTTCCCATCACATACATGTTAGTTATTACAAAATGATGCACAAGAAAAAAGTAACGCTCTCAACTAACAGCTTGTTTTACTCCTGACCGATCCAAGACAGAACATGTCCTTTTGGGAACCTATTCAGTCTCAAAGCCTGCGTTCACGTTCAAGCATGGAACGTGGTTTGAAAGCAAGTTTCACAACCAGTTCAAGCTCATTTAAGCACAGGCCGATTCTGAGAAAGTCCAGTGCACCCCAGTTATGCACACTCTTGTGCATTGTTTTGTGTCAGCTCTAGCAGCTGTGCAGCTTGCCGTTGTGCAGTAGTGCAACTAATGAAACTATACCCAAAAGACAGAATTATTCAGAACATCAAAAGGCAGTTGTGCATCAAAAAAGGGCCTGTCCCTAGTGATTCAGCTGTCTGAAACAAAGTTACTGATTGAAAAGACAAAGCATGAAGAAAAAGGAGAACAAAGAGGGCTGGAAGGCTGTTAATGTGGAGGTGGTTGTAATTTAGGTAACAATCTTACAATGAAAGCAGTGACTCACTGAGAGCATTTGAAAAGAAAAAGGCTTGAGGAAAAACGTCTTAAAAATAATTTTACTTTAACCATAGAAAATGATAAGAAGCCTGGTGGGTTGTTTTGTTCCACATAGGATTAAGTGTCTTGCGATGCAGTCATTAGATCAGGTATTGGGAGAAAGGCACCTGCAACTGCAACACAGGAATCTGAAGGATAAGAAAAATGGTGATTCATTCCTGAAGGACAGCTCTGGCTGGCAAAGAATAAATTGACTTCCATGCCAAATTGAAGCTGCAGTTCAAATTGAACATACCTGCAACCCATCAGGTTTGCGTTTCTGTTGATGTCTCCAGGCCTGCCTCTTGTTCGTTTGCACAACACAGAGAAACCCCCGTTCTAAGAGATGGGGGGAGATGCAGAAACGAGTGCACCTCTGCCCAGACGTACACAAGTCATAGCTGGTTTAAATGCACAAAACCGGGTAAGTTCTTTTAAGCGAAGAAGTAATTTTTTTCCATGTTCAGTGAAACCTTGCTCTCCTCCTATCAAGACATGATTTACAACGTAAGCTGGGGTCCGTTTGATAAAACCTTGCTCCTTTCTTAGCACAAAGCTAAAACCTGAGAAGTAACATGAACAAACGGTCCAAACATTTGGTCTTTGGACCTCCTCCTTTTATCTGCTCTCAGAATCAAAACTATCTGGCAAGACAGTCTTTGTTGATTTATTTTAATTAAAATGACTGGATCAACAGATTGCTATCGCGTTTACAATGGCTGTTGTTCCTAAATGGGAACAGAATTGTTTGCCTATAATAAACGCTTTAAAGGCTGCACGGCTTCATCAGTTCTTATACATATTACTATAACAACATTCTTCACCTATACACTCTTTTTAAGAATTCGCCAAGTACACTTCTGTACTGAATTGTAACACATCTCTAGGTCTGATACACCAACACCAGGGAGAAATCTCCTTTCTCCGAGTTCTCTTTTCACTGCAGCAGTTAGTATGGGCAAAAAACTCCATTACAACAGGAAATGTACTTTTCCTGTACACTCAGAGCTTATGGGCCTCAAACTCGAAACACAGGCTAGAAAACCCTCTCTCCTTCTTTGTACAATGCTAGAATTTGCATCTCTTGGTGGCTGATGGTGTTTCATGGAAATGAAAAGCTCTGATAAGTACATTTCAAAGAAATGACAAAACCTGTCGATTCGCAGGAAAAATGCACCTCTGCAAATCAGATCCATGGTTGTGTGAAGAGATATGTTTATGCAGTAATAACTGAGTTAGCATAGCTTATGAAATTACTGCCTGTCGACTGAGATACAGCTGTTGAAAACCACCTCTGAGCTAACCAGCTCGACTCTGCAGTCAGCAGGAGCAGAAAGCATACAGATGGTCTGTTACCCTGTCTCAGCTGACAGGCAGTAACTTCTTAAAACACACTAACTTCATTTTCTGCGTTTGTGCAAACACATCCTGAGAGCTACTGAAACATATATTATGGCTGCTGCGTTTCCAATAGTGTGGTTCAGTGGCCGTGGTCTGATTCACATCGTGAAAGACTCTTGCTTACAATTTAAGACGCGAGATTATTCCACCCCTAATTTTCTGTTCAGCAAAAATATGGTGCTCTATTTCTGCAGCTGTTCAGATCTGTTGTGTCAGTAGACTGACTGAGCACGGATACAGACAAACCCCTTTTCAAGGGGTTTGCTCATCAACATCTCTTTATGCTGGGAAAGCACAATAAAATTGCTCTGATCTGAGAGAGAGAAGGCACTGACAAACTGCAAAAGAGCTCCCTTGCTTCTTGTGTCTTTAATCGCCAGTGATGCTCTTCCTATCTAGTCACAATTTCAGCCAGCCTGATGGCAAGCAGGGAGCTCGCACTGAGTAATGGAATCTACGTCCTGCATGGGGATACCACGCGCTTGCGATCAATCAGCTTTCTGCAAAGCATCTGCACTCACGCACAGATCACAAAGTAGTTTTGTTTTGGTTTGTTTTATTGATTCACTTGGAAGTTAAATGCGGCAAAGCCTGATTGTTCCAAGTAGTACTAAAGCATTTCATTAATTTTTGGATCGTATGGCAAATACAGGTTTAGGGCTTCTAAGATCAGAATAAAAGTCCTACAAAGACCTAACAGTTCAAAACTAGAACAGTCAAGTTTGTTCAAGAAATACCAGTATGTTAACTCTAGAAACAAATTTAATTTCAGAGCAGGTACCGTATGTCCACGCTGCTCTGATTTTACAAATGAGATGTTATCTGAACTCCCACATCTGATATAAAGCCAACAAAAGCTGTATCTCACGTGCTCTGGCTAATCGGACAGAAATGTAATCGTATAACTAACACTCCATTCAGATGGGATTTGTAGGGTTTGGAGATCCAACTGCATACACAGCTCTGGTATTAATGACAGCAGAACCACAATCTGGATCTGGCACAGAAAGGTCTGTCAGGGAAAATCTGAGGTACTTTGAGAAGACTTTCCAGGCCAAAATATACAAGTGCCTGGTCAATTCTGACCCTCTCCGCAGCAAACTCATAATTCCACCTACTCACAGCAACTGCAGTATGAAGATCCCTCCTACTTGAAAGAAGCTGAAATATGAGACACTACAGTGTAAGGAGGTAGAAAGTCAGTTACGCCAAGCTTCAGCAGCTTTTGGGTTTTGCTTTGTAAATAGAGACTTTTTTTTTTTTTTTTAATTTCCTAATGAGAAAACACAAGCTAGGGAATAAAAACTCTTTTGGAAGGAAAGTGCCATTTCGACGCAAAAGTTTTGGTACCTAATTCCCAGGTATGTTTAGGATCCTTTGAAAATTCAGTCTAAATCTCTCTGCTATAACATTTACAGAGACCACTAACAGTACCACTACACAATAAATGCAGACATGAAAGCCCAGGTTAGTTAGGTGGCTTGTCCAAGTCAGTGGCAGTGTCTTATCAGCTGGCTTTCTCTGAACCCTTTATCTTCTGCCTGATCTAGTTTTAGACAGTGGAAGGAATGGGATGATTTGAATAACAGTGTCAGCTGCTGAGGGGCTGCAACATAAGCTTCCACTAACATCAGGCCAGCTGTCGATCAACGGGTCACGGCTATCCCTAAGTCGCAGAGAGAGGCAGGGAGATAACTTCCTATGAAGACCACGCGGCTGCTGTAGCCCACGTCCAGAGAGAAAGGGGAAGTCCTGCTACACCAGCGCAGGGACGCTCTGCCTGTACCCATGAGCAATCCTGCGCAGGCGCAGCAGTTCGATAAACGCACTGCTGAGTATCCTGCCTTTATTTAAGTTGCACTATCGTGTCTGATGCTTGCGCTTACCTGAAATCCATGTTTGCCCCTCCACCATGTGGTCAGCTCCTTTGGTGGCATGTCAATAACAGACACTATGTCTCCCACCTGCAAAAGATTGGCAACATCAATCACAGCTCGCAATGTGGCTAGGAGGAAAGCACAATTCAAATAACTGCATTCTTCAGCGCGGCAAAAAACTGTAAAACTTGTGAGCAACTGCACCAATGCCAATCTCGAGACATCTGCCTCTGTAAAATCAAACTGTGAGGTAGAAGAGTTACTGCATTATACAACATACAGGATACAGCTGCTCATAAGGAAACAATTCTCAAAAGCAGCAGGCTCTCTGCCAAAGGGTACAGAAGTGTTCTGATTAAACTGCAGACATAAGTAAGCAGTGATGGTGTGAAAATATTCCCAAGTAGCTGAACTAATTTTTACTACACGCCCTATATATGTTTATGTAGGCATTGGCATACGTCTTCTTGTTTCCTTTCACAGCAAAAGGTTAAGAGCTCCCTTTGTAGTTCACAAACTGACCAAGACATGCTTTTCTTAAGTAGAAAATGAACAAAGGTGGTGTGGTGTTACAGCAACAGGAAAGAAAATGACCAAGGAGACCAAACAGGTTTTCTGAAGCTTTGCTCATTCCCATAAAAAATGTAATACTGCAATAGTTCAAAAGGAAATCAGTATAATCAATACTAAATTTGGCTTGGTGGGAATCAAGATCTATGTGGCCTGTCTTGAGGAAAATGAGATAGGCCAGAGCTGAAGGGGCAGAACTTAAATAGGCAGCCAGGTACAGCAAAAACTGTTAACAGTAATGCCTGGCTTTTACCAGATGTTTTACATTGATGGATCTCAAAGTGCCTTACAAAGAAGATAACACATCCACATTTTTCAGATAGGGATAACTGAGACACGGGGAAGTGAAGTGATTTCCTCAAGGGAATAGCAAACCAAGAGCAAAGCAAATTTCCACTAAGGAAACTGCTGTCACCACAATGAGCAGAGAAGCCAGGTATTTTCCTCAGTATTGGGGAGCAAATGCCAGTCAGCTACTTTTGCAATTGCCGATTACAAATTAACGATAGCCTAAACGTAAAGAGAGAGTTTGGGCTAGGGAACAGAACGCAGCATTGTAAAACAACCGATCATATTCCACTTCTGTTCTGCCAAGGCTTCTCACTGCGTAACTTGGAAAGCCACACGTGTCTTGGTTTGCCCGCTTGTACACTATGCCTCATAACAACTTGCTGGACCGCATGACAGTTGCAAGGCCAAGTTAGCCTGCTGGCACAGAGCTGTGAGATCTGCAAGCAGGGAGTGCCATCTTAGTGCTTTTATTAATACTGAGACACTGCCAAACAGCCTGTGTCCCGTACTGCATGCATTGGAAGATGACACACTCACATGTCTTTCTGATTAGTGCGGTTCTTTGGTGTACAATAATAATTGCCTCGATTTTGAATATGAGCAAAACCCTGGCAGCCCTAGACTATCACTATTATTTTTACTTCAGGCGCTGCATGCTAAGAATGTGATCACAAAAACTCCTTCGGGCACTAACTGTTTTCCTTCACACTTTTTTGTATAATGCTGTGAATGCTCCATTGATAGTACCACTGCACACAAACAATCAGAGCATAAAACACTGCTCTCTGGGTAGAACAGACAAGAGCCAGATAGCCAAAGATTTCCAGGGTCTGATCTTCCAGATCTTTGCTCCACAGCAGCTCCTCCTCTGCATCAAGTAAGATTTTCAGAGCAGTTTTAGATTATCACCTGCCCTTTAAGTACCAAATTCTTTCACAGTCTGGTTCTTTACTTTTCATGGGAGCAGAAGCTCTTAAAAATGGTTTTAGACACGGACTTGCCAACAGGAACGCAGGTTGTGTAAACTGGCCAATGAGTAATTAAATTGGCACGTGTCCACATATGCACATATGTGGACAGTCTTCCCGAACAGATACAACATACTTTTAATACACTGTACAGTACAAAGTATGCAGGGTCTGCTGCTGCTCAGAGACCAGGCTAGAGTACTTGGCAGTATCTGTTTAATCAGAAGATGCTAATGCCAAGTAAAGCTATATTTTAAAGATGACTGAACTCCTCTCTGTATCCAACCCATAAAATCGAAATATTTAACTGAATCTTCTAAGCTTCACCTCACAAAACATTCTGAAAGTGTCTGAATATATTCCTTGTGCGCACACACGCACAGACACACACAAGTTACACTCTTCTGTATGTGACAACAAGGAACGTAAGCTCCTTTAATTATTTACCTCGAAGGACAGTTCGTCTGCTGCTTGAGCAATATATCTCTTAATAACATGGGCAGCAGCAATAGCAGGAACGTTAATGGATGATTCCTCATGGACTAGCAGGTGATTCCCCTTGTTATCAATCTGAAATAAAGAGCAGAGGAGACCATGAGGCAGCTGAGGACAAGTGAGGAGGCATTTTATTGGTGCTCATACATGGCAGAGGCTTCAAGCTGATTCAGAGAGACAGCACAGCTTGGGGGCCCCCCAAGGAGAGCAGTGTGGAGGGACAGTGTAGGGCACAGCACACGCAGAAAGGAAGAGGAGGAACAATTCATAAAGAGTATTTCAGAAGGTCGTATGTCCCCATCCAGCTAATGAGAAAAACGCTGTATTTGTGCATCTTTGTGTACAAACAGTAACATGACAGCGAATGTTTACACCTCCCTTTAACACCAAATCGTATTGTTTTTCCTGAAGTACTTAAAATGGCAATACAAAAGCGACTACAAAAATTCTCTACGAGGCGGAATTAATGCTCAAGAAGAGGCACTGAGGTAAGGAAGAAATGCTGTCAAACCCAAAACTAGTGTTGCTTTCAATTTTCTCCCACCCTTTTATTGCTTTTTTTAAGAAAACATGGCTCCCACCCCTTGCTGCAATCATCAGCCTACTTTCAAAACTCCTAGATTTTTGTGCTCGTGTAAAATGTTGTAAGATTCTCCATTAATCTGAAAGGTTATTCTGGATTGCATGTGCAATAGCTTTGCTGTAATCTCTCGGTCCGCTGTGTTGCTGTAAATTCTACAGGTTCATTTTTCTCTATAACTTCCTTCCTCCCTTTGTGCTGAGGTTTCCAAGATTTTTCTCATCCCAAAGGATTTCAGGCTGAGGAGGATACCAGCAGGGAAAATTGCAGGAAAATGCACTCAATCCTTATCACAACCATTTAAAAATGAATTGCAACAGTCTAATAATAGTTGTTTCTATTCCTGGTGTGCAGCAATATCATCAGGCAATGGAAAGACACACATATCTCTACCCAGACTAATCAGCAACAGCACTGCTGACACAGACAGGTGGCCTTGATCACTTAGCCCCATTCTTTCCTGCACTCCTTGCCCAATAAGGTCTATTGTTTAAGATGGTAGAAGACCATTAACAGAGAAACCAAAGCTGCAGCTGCAATTCACAATATACAAACAGTGCCACTGCAAGCACAACGCAGGCTCTGTTGAGCAGTTTAACCAACAGTGATGGCAAACAGGAGCAGATAATATTTATTGTTTCTGTAGCTATCACAAGGAAAAATAAAAAAAAAAAAAAAGAGGGCAGACAAACACCATAACTGAGACAGCTACAATAGTTTTAGGAACTTGCCGCGCTTGCAGTATCGCCTTGACAAAAAGGAGCATAAGAATGTATGCGCTTTCTGCAATTTATTGTTCAGAGACTTCAGCCATGAACTGGACTTTCCCAGGTGGTCCACTGACCCAATTGCTGCTTTACTAGAATTGCCACCTCCTTTTATTTCGTGAATATCAGCAGAACGATATGTCTTTGGGTGACAAAATCCAAGCAAGAGGGGGAAAAAGCTCCTATATTCTTAACTTCAGAGCTGATTCTGTTTGTTCTATACCTTTTGTGGCCACCTACATGCCTGTAACAGGGGAATAAAGCTGTTAGGATAGCATTTCAGTGACACCAGTAGGTCTGGAAGGATTATACCTCGTTCTGGAAAGGCAAGAGAGCACATTTGTGGCTTGCTCTGCTGCTAAGGTGAGGAAACAACAACGTGAGCTTTGTACTCTACCTCCATCCATGTGAGAGCAGGCCCACAGTTTATCTTGTTGCCTGCGATGGCTGAGAGACGTGACAGGTAAGCCATCAGCATCTGGGTGACAAGCTGGAACAGAAAGAAACAGACATACAGTTTTTCTGTTAGTACACCATGGTTTGGAGAGACTTCTTCAGACTTGGAGAGACCACAAATTATCCATTGCCACAGGCAAGCATTATAGAAATATATTCCCTTTTGCAAGGAAATCTGCCATTTGAAGAAGGACGGCAAACTATATACAGTGTTATAATGTTTACACACACACAAAAAAAAAATGTGTAAAGCAGCAGCTCCCTCTGAAAGTAATAATGCTATTTTTATAACATGTGAAGATTTTCTAATTTCCCTTGTCAAGATACCTTAAATCAAAAGCCCTCCTCTCATCATGAATTTTACATACAAACAAATCATTTGTATTGTGGCCATCAAACACATCTGAGAACCATTTAGCGAAACAAAACACTGGCTGCCATTTCCACCCACTTGCAAACCCTGAAGAATGTGGCAACTCAGGCTGACCCCTTGGCGACAGAGTAATATTTCAAATAGTAGAAGAGAGTTTTAAAAATACACTTAGCAATGTCCCTTCTATAACAGTAAACTTGCTTTTATTAAAGTGAAGCTAGCGATGTCCTTCCAAAGCTTCACAGTGACAGTGTTATAAAGCAGTATTGTAGCCCAGAGTTTGTAGGACTATTTAAAACATTGTTCTCCTCAAACATCTGTTCAAATGTGGTCAATTCAAAATAAAAAATATAGTATGAGACACCACACAGCTGCAGATTTACATTTCACAGCAGTAGATTTTTTTTTAGCATCTTTACATCTTCTATGCTTACAGATATGATGCAGATTTTCAGCCTCTTGCTAAAAAGTACATATTAAATCAGTTGTACAAATAAAGATGTAAGAGATAGGAATGCCTAAAATATAATTAAAATAAACAAACCCAGGAATTTATTATCCTGAATATTGCTGCTTCTGCTGAATTTAAGAAACTAGAAGCTTTACATTCTCTTCAGAAATAGCCTGCATTAAACCGAAGCAACTAATAAATCAGATTCTCCGATGAGCAATGGGACCACAATATCAACTTTCTATATTCAGTGGCAAAAGCCCTGCAAGACTTCAGGGGGGTACTGATTTCAGCCATTGTGTGTTGCTCGAAAGCAATCAATCCTCGCCTGCTCAGCACTGAAAGAACACAGATTCTGATTTATAGTTCCTGGATGGATTCCTCTTTGAATGCTTGGAATGCCCTCAACTTCCTCATTTCCCTTTCCAGCTACACATCTTGTGGGCAGGCAGCAAGAGCCGTCCGACACAGCATGTCAAGATTTTTCCATACTTGTGGTCGATGGTAGGGGGCAAACATACAACTGCAGGTCTCAGAGATAAGTGACCTGTGAAATGAAGCACTGTCCGTCACCGTGATACGCGCTCTTCCCGCAGACAGAGGCCAAACAGTTTTGTTATGCTCTACTGGCTCAAATAACCTCTGTGGCCACGCATTACACTGCCTCCCTCTCCACATCTTCTGAAATGATGCAGTCAAGATGCACCTGCTACTTTCCAGAAGATTATTTTGGACATGAATAAATCTCTGAATTATCAACAGGCAAGAAGCCGAAGGAATTCCAGCTCACCATATTCCAGGTGAAGACAGTAAGTCAAGAAATGAAAAATACCTCTTATTCATTTAGGAAAAAAAAACACTTTTCAAGCTTTTTAAAGACCATTTCAATAATGCACTAATGCAAATGCTCTTAAAAAACAGCTTCAGTAATTTTCAGTTTATAAATGTAAGTCTAGCATTCCAAATGGTATTACTCTTGCAGTGTGGCAGCCCTAGAACAACATGATTTCCTAGGAATGTTAAGTTGCTAACATTAAGTCAGAAAATACCCACATCATTGAAAAAGTTTCTGAAGACATAACAAAATTCTTATCTAAGGTACTAATGGGACAGCTTCTTTCTTGACACTCTCTGTAACCATTCCACATCTAGCAGCACATTAATTCATATGAACTCGCAGGGCGTTTCCCTTTAGATCATCGAAATTAAGGGTAGAAAACACATACTGATCTTATTACTGGTAATCAATTTCCAAATCTAACCCAGGCCGCATTAAAACTACTTTGTACATACATGAAAATATCTTCCAACCCCTTGCTGGTGACTGTGCTTTAAATGTTTACGGAGCTGATAATTTACCTCCGGACTGTCCTTCAGGGCATCGGAGCGGGGTAGCTCTGAGAGCTGGGAGAAGCGCCGGTCATAAATACATAGGTGAAGATGTTTATCAAGTACTCTGAAATCTTCATAACTCCGCTTCACGATCCAGCTCCTCCCCTGCACAAAGAGCAAAGAGAATCACACTTTTATAAGCTCCTCACCAATTCACATTGGATGAAGAAAATGAAAATTTGTGCAGAAGTAGCAGACAGATCTGGCCATCTTTCTTCTCAAAACATTTGCAAGTGATGAAAGTGCCTTAGTAGTATTTTCAAGTTTTAATTTGTAGACAGCCATTCATGCTCAAACCAGCTGCTAGTGTTCCTGTTTTAATTATTTAACCACGGGTTTGGATGTGGCCCAGCATTATGAGACCTATCCAAGGCTTTTAACTTCCACCTGTCTTACAAGGATTTTATAGCATTTTCATACACAAGGTGTCTTTGCACAAATGTAAATTACAAAATGGTTGTATAAATAGCATGGAATTAGATTCTACATAGATAGAAGAATATACAATCAGGGATCTGAAGGCAGAAATGAAGCTTGCAAAGTTTCTGTCAGGCGCCCCAGGCAAATCTTCAGCTGAATTAAAAAAAAAACAATCTATGATGAATAACACTAGCTGAAGATTTACTCCTGAGTGCATATCATTTCCCCAATTAAAATACTGACAAGATACATACTGCTCCAGAGGACAAGGAAGGGACCATGGCAGCACAGCATGATTTGCTTTGTGAAGCTTTTAATATCTAATGACTACTTTTAAATGCTTGATGGCCTATTATGTTCAATAAAAAATGTTGTAATAATGCAGCAGGTTACAGGTCAAAGCACTTTATGAACAGTCATTCGTCCTCTCAACACTCCCATGAAGCCCCTAAAATGAGACTATTCCTGTTTTACAGATGTGGACACCGACTCAGTGAGCATGGACCTCCACACAGCTTCCCTGCCTTCTATTTCAAGTGCAAAGCGCTTTCTCAGGCTTTCTTTCCTAAAATCAACAGTACGGCCATATTTAAGAAGAAGAAAGTCTCTATCAGCATTACACACTCTGCTTCACACTCCACATGCGGTTGTCTCCCTTGGGAAAGGATGAGAAAAACAACAAAGCATGCAACAGATGTTAGCCATGCTGCACAAGTCCAGGTGCTCCTACAGCAAAGCAACGCTAGCAGTGCAAGGACTCGGAAGATGTCAGAGGAAGGAATTGCATCGCTCCGGGTTACACGGCCACTCAAAGGCAGGGCCAAGGATTAAAAGTGACAACGGGATGCCTGGCAACCAGTACAGAAAGCAGGGAAATGCACGGTGTAAGAGGGGACACAGCGTCGTTTCAGTTTTCCATGGGGAAAGCCGTTGTAAAGCGTGATCCCAGACCCGCTGCACTACACCTGCTGGAGTTCAGGACCCGGTGCCCTCTCCACCCAGGCTACAAAAAAGCATGGCCTACTCCGACTTCTCAGTCACCATTCTGCTACATTCTTCTGTTCATCAGGAACGTTATAAGCATCACTTTTCTATTAATATCCAAAGCTTGCAAGGCGATTGTAAATGTAGAACCTATAATCCAGCGTACCAGCTATTTTCTGTCAAATTTATTTAAGACAACTCCAGGCCATGTATTGTGCCCACAAATTCTGCTTTCATATCACAAGAAATCACCCATATTTCCCAAGCCTACAAAGAGCGTATCTACGCAAGACATGAATGCTCTGTAATTTCCGTGAGTTATATCATTTTACTTTTCGTCTAAAGGAAAAAAGCAAAAACAGGAGTGCAAGTCTAATTATTTTCAAGAAGGTGACAGCCTTTCCAATTTCTCCACCTTTTGCAATTAAGTACTTCTTGCTCTTTTGATAAATTGCCAGTATGACCTTCAGCTAAGCAAGGTTTAGTCACCAACGTAAGAACACACCGAGAAATCGCTGCAATCCGTTATTTGCTTCTGCCTGCTACACATAACAGGGCATTTCAACACAATCTCGTACGTTATCCACGCAAATAATAAACCTATTTGTCAAATAATCATAAATCCGTTATTAATTCCACGATATTTTAATTTTAGACGTTGGACTGTAGGTTTGCAGTCTCTTTTTATCACGAATTAAGACAGTAAGAGTTAAATTTACAAGACAGGAATAGCTGGGGTCAGCAAGCTACTGGTCCATGTGACAGGTTTGGAGAACGGACTATACAGACAGCGTTCTCCTTGCTTCTGATGAAACCTATTCTATACGATCACAGTAACGAGGCTACTGATAGCTAGCAAGGAGGCTGATTAACGAGCATATCCAGCTTACCTCACGACAGCAGCAGTGTTTCTTGCCCCACCATCTCCCTGAGAGGTTCCTCCTGCGCCGCACAACAACTCGCGGAGCAAGCGCTGAGCTGGCACAGTCCGAGCGTGGTGCAGAAAGGTAACCCACAACCACCGCTCCCGTACCTTAAATCTGCAGCAGTTCGGCAGCTGCTAAGCAACCAGCCGAGCTATCCCTGCGAGCTATCCCTGCGGAAGCAGCAGCAACCTCCATAAGAGGGGTGGTGCACATGCCTGGAGGCCAGAACCACTGTCACCATTCCTAGGTAAGTCGGCCCAACGCCTGCAATCACAGCCCTGGATCTCAGGCTCTCGTGCAAAAGGATCGCAGGATGCTTGTGGTGACAGGGCCGCCCGTTCTTCAGTCGCATTCGGAATGACTGTGCATATGATGTGTTAGTACAGAACGCAGTTTCAGGGGCAATAATACCAATTCCCACCCAGCAGAAAGTTATCCCAACACCCTAAATGTGACTATTTCCTAATACTCTACAGTTTTAAGTCTGCCATAACTACCTTCAAAAAGCATACGTGCTTTAGGTTGTTCTAAAAGTTGTATTAAGCAAAGTTTTTGCAGATTTGTGAGTGACAAATTTTTAAGCAAAAGTAAGACAGCCATATTTACGAGGGGTGCAATTAACTTTACAGGAAAGAATCATTGCAGCAGTCTAGGAAGGAACTGGACAACATTTAGTGCTTCCCCTCAGATCTCCAGTATAAATCACAAGTGAAGTCTAAATTCTCTCAGCCAGACTTCCAGAGTTGCATCGCCAAAGCAGCAGAAACAACAGTCACCTCATTTGATATCAAAAATACTACAATGTTTCACTATGTCAATATAAAAACTGTATATCTTGCTCCCATTTCCTGCAAATTCTAAAGTGCCAGCAGGGTTTTGCAAAAGGGTTCTTTTTTTTAATTTAGAGAGTTAATAAAGGAGAAACAAGTAAGTGACCGTTAAGTTGGTCTCATGTTGTCAACTGTGTTTTGTAGCAAAGCTAAACGTTACTGGTGCTTCGGGCACATAATATCCGTAAGGTGAAAATGCCTTCTTCACATTCTTAATGATTTCCACTAATTGTTGCTCAAATAAACTTTTGATCACCCTCTCATTTTACAATTCAATAATTACTTTTCTATTCTTTAATTATTGATGGTCCTGATTTAGAGAAGCACATGCTTAAATCCCATTAATGCCAATGGGACATAAGAACAGAGGTGAAGTTAAGCACAGCGATTTCCCGGATTCAGACCTTCAGTTACAAACCTGGGTATGACAAATTTCATAAACATAAAAAAATCAAGTCTCAAATGAAGACTTCAATAATGCCATAAAATAGTTCCACAATCTTCAAAATGAAAAAATGACCCCTGCCTTAAAAAAAAAAAAAAAAAAAAATCCCTCTTGAACAGAATCAAAGTATTTTTTGGAATTTCATTTTACAGAAACGTTCACAATGAAAAGCGTCGTGACAATTATGGAATTTCTCACAAAATGGAAAATCTGGGTTCATTCCTACTCTTGTTACAGTTTGATCTGTTCTCCCTTACTCCTGCATGCTGTGTAGGATTAAACGCACGATGAAAGACTGGTGAGATTTCACCACACTGCACAGAGCTTCTTATTTTTTTCTGATTATCAAAGCAAGAACTGTCATGCTAAAAAATGATTAGAGATTACTGAGCTGATGATTTAATTTCCACTGAGCCAGAGATTTGAACCTCCCATTAGTAAAACCATTATACCGAGATCGCAGATCCTACAAAGCTACCCAGGCTTCACAACTCATGAGACAAGATTCAGAGGGACAAGGATTCAGAACCCCAGCTCCACAAGCAATATTTTCAGCTTCTGGTCGAGCGGCCTAAGGAGGACGACACGCAGCCGCGGCCAGGAGAAGTTTACATACTCCCTTTTGCACAGCTCGTGTGGCGATACTTCGGGTGAGCAGCAGCATCAGTCCCCGTCCCCTTTCTTCCCAAGCCCAACACATAGCACGACAGTTGCAGCTCAGTGATGGTTTGTCTCATTACGAACAGAAAGACATTACTTCTCGTAGTACCGCTCGGTTACTGTTGGACTGGGAAATTTAAGGAGGGTATTTTAAAGCATCCTTTGCATTTTCATTCCCATAGTTAAAAAACCCCACCTGTGCTCCATCATCTCTCACACCCTTCAACTGACCAGCACAAAAACCTTACTGAGTTCTAAGAGGGGCTCCCCTAAGCTCAAGGCCAGTTCCACACAGGAATATTTTTATGTGGACTTAACTGTTTTCACTTGGGATCTGGCAAGAAGCAATTCTTCCCCTGTTGCGCACTGAACAGTCAGTGGCTTACTTGGAGGCATCCAGCTAACAAGAGAGAAGCGAATAGGTTCATCTGTGTCAATATTTGTGATACAATTCATTTAGGAAACAGATATGCACAAGTTTTATAATAAAGATTTACAGATCTCCTCTCCCCACTTTGTAAAACACTGTTTCCAGCTGAATCTGTCTAGAACTGTGCAGATAGGGCTCTTTTTTGTCCATCAATGCCTCTTCAAGCCAGACAGGGTACTACTGAGTTCCAGCACGCACAACTCTCCTGTCCCACGGTCCGAGTATGTTTTCTCTGTAGCACCTAAGATTTATTTATCTTAAGACAGGGATAGACCTTTCTGTTCTGGTTCAAATGCTTATTTCCTGAGAGAAATCACATGGATGCTCTCATGAACCTTACCAGTCCACAAGAGGATCGAGACCAGAAAATGAGATGAAAGTATATGGCAAAAGTCACTGCAGTTTGACCC